TAATGAGAAAGTTGAAAGTAGGAAAGAGAAGATGGACCGCTCCACGTACGGATCACTGGACCAAATAGTTGTGATATAAAGAATATGTTGTTACGTTTTATGTCAAAAATTAAACCGACATGGTCCAAAAATATTTTTCTTTTATTAATGCTGATTTGGGACATTCACGATTTTACATATACAAAATATTAAGAGAGTCTTAAAAATTTACATTGGTATATATTCCATGAGATTTGAATATGGTGCTGAGATTAATAGTTGTAACAAAAAACTAAATCATCGAACTGGCAAAAAGAGGTTTATAATGCTTCGGATGCTTCTAAAAAAACGTCATATCCTCATTTTATTTTATTATCTGCGATTATTTCCTATGATATTGCCTGTAGACATACAAAATAAGAAAAAACTGGCTACAAAGAGAAATATGAAGTATCAAATCTATGTCTAACTCATCGTATAGCCCCAACCTCTCTCTCGTGAAGAAAGGTGTTCATTATAACCTTTTAGGTCAATGTAATGAATGGTTTTGCAAAGTGCGCCTGACACGTGGAGACACCTCCTTATCTTACATTTTTATTTTGACATAAAGTGGAACAAGTGTGCGGTCTTCATCTACCTATAGCAAACCACACTGAATCTGCTAATTGATGACAGTCGTATCTCTTTTGTCTTAGGGACGATATGGCCAGCCTCTGGACCACACAAACCTTAGAACTCGGATTAGTTTGCTGACATCAGCGATTGTTAAATCAACATCTTACATCATAAGTAACAATCTAAAAATAACCATGATCTACCTAGCTATAATAGAGGAGTTTATTTATGTGTGTTAGTTAACCAAGAAAAAATGAACTCAAATGTATTTATATTTTTTAAAAATTACATAGAAATTTATTATATATAGTTTGTAACTTTTCTGATTAATTATTGCTCGTGCTTCAACGAAAATCTAACGACACGGCACTAAATCTACGCTGTTTCTCGTCTTCTCAGTGCCGCTATTGTACGGGCTTTCAAAAGTTTGATTTAGCAGGAGCGTATCCATTGCCTTCATGAACAAGAGGACAACGACTGCCTTGTAAATTCAAAGACAAGAGTATCAGAGCACTGACTAGCGATACCGCGAGAATGCCGAATATCCGACTGACCAGTGCTTTGCAATCCTTCCCGCATACAGTCCACGTAAAGCGTCTCCTATTTAACAGAACCGACACATTTTAAGAAACAGACAAAACGTTACAACTCAATTTAGCTATTTTGTCGTCTCTTTCCTAGTTTCAATTTCAAAAAAAGATAACTTGCGCGTGGACTTCATTGATGAACGCCGTATTTTCGTATGCTTGGCTATGATAATAGTTGGCATTTGTTGACGCTTTGGATTTTGTGACGTTTAAGACCTCTACGCTTAGACGTACTAAGATGATTAAAGCACGAGTGCACCGGTCTGATGGATCTGCAAGATTGGAAGTATGAGCTGCAGAGATTCATACTAATACGATTTGCAGTAAAAATAACAAGCTGGAATGGAGAGATCCGCGCTGAGCAAGAGGGGGGTTTTTATAGTGGTTCGGCGATGCTTACAAGACGACCGACATCCCTGTTATTTTATTGCCTCACTGATATTTCTCTCATGTCCCGTAGGCATACAAAGAGGACGAGCAATTCCACGCGCTTTACCAGGATAGAGACATGAAAACTGAAGCTCCACTATCTTCGCCCCCGCCCTCTTCTGGACCAGGAGTGCCCCTATTTATACACTTTTGCACTCAATTGATGAGTGTTTTGCAAGCCCGCTGCCATTGACCCATACATGCAATAGACTCAACGCTCCAGTTCATTTCTTGAAACGGACGATATGGTTGGAGAAATATCTTTAGAGACAATGCTGGTTTGGTTAGCTGGTCACAAGGAAACAGTACATAAATGTAGCTGACCAGGGCATATGACTTTTTAGGGGCATAACAATCCTTAATTGAAAAAACTTTGAAAAATAAGTCAAATTGCAGATATATTGAATTGTGAAAACACACTGTAAAATGTTCCTCTGCCCATTGATGTAGTGTGATAACTATAAACAATCAAATTCAAATATGATAATAATAATTTCAATATATAAGATATATATAATATATAGTAATTAATAATAATCACATTCAATCTAATTGCAAAATGGCTGGACTATTTTCATATACTCGCATGGTGTTAAAAGTGTTAAGCGATGAGTTAAATAATTATATGTGATTGGAAATGGCAACAAAGAATAAACAAGAGACAATTTTTAAACGTGTCGCGGATGCTCAAAAAGCAAATCAATACGTCCACATATTTGTATTGATTGGTGATTACAGTCACTTGCGGCATACGAGTTGATTACTATAGTCAGAAGAGAATTTAATATAGAGAGAGCTCTGCTCTTAGAAGATTAAAAATGAACGGCTACCCACACATGAGAGAAGAACCTCTAAGTTTAGTCGAGGGATTCAAGGCTTAATATCATGAATTTGTAGTCGAAACATGTGGGTACAATTCCTAACCTACTTCCAGTAGATGACTGCACGAGAAATCCTTAAACTCGTAGGGGCTTGGGAGTTGGAAAGTCATACCACTAACAAGCCAAGCTTTCAACTGCCCCACTGACAACAGTTTACCTCTTCCGTGTCTTGCGCGACGCGGTCAGCTTGGACACAACAAAACTCGTCCTGACTCTGATTGAACCTCTGCTAGGCGTGAGCTTACGTTAATCATGAGTTTTTTAAGGGCATAACATATATATATATCTGTAACCCGAGGGCGTGGTCTTCATGTCTCATCCCTAACCGTCTACTGGGATCGTTGAACAACCTACAAAGTCCAAAGAATCAGGTAGTAAGATAACTAAATATTAATATGATAGGTTGTTCTAAGTTTAAATTCAAAAACTCAAGAAAAAGAGAATAAAACTCTTTTGATCATAAACACACCCCTTGAACGGTCGTTAATATATATATTTTACATTTGCTAAATTTTGATTGAGAATATATTAAAAATACACTGGATGTTGATAACTCATCATTGATCCACTTGTAAAATGCATGTGAGGTTCTTGGCAAGTCTGATCAAGCTGCAGTTAGGGGGATTGTGACAGGCAGCAATGTTGAACTGAATACATTATTGAAAAAATATGATTTCTAATTTCCCAAGAAGGAAGGATGGGTATCGAATTTCCGAGACCCACCAGTTAAAAAATGAGTAATGCTACACGGAAACACATTTTGGTAAACATCATGAGTGTGGCTATATGTACAACCACACAAATTCTATTATAATATTAGACAAATTTAAATAATTAAGAAATTTGTGTGGTTGTGAGATATATACCACATCATGAGTAATTGAAATGTGGTAAGGAGGTCTTTACAGAGTACAATCTCCCTCAATTGAGCAGTGGGAGTATTACTGAATCATAGTAAGGAGCAATGCCTATCAGTAAAGTCTAGGGATAGCGAGATTAAGGTAGGGTCTTAGATTCGTCAAACATTTGGTATCCAAAAGGTAGCGTCTTGCAATACTCCCTGATTTAATCTGCACACACAACGATTATTATTTGAACTAAGAGCCTGGAAAGCAAGAAGTGAACCATCAGAAGGACATGTGAAATTAGGAAACAGTATCAAACATGGACGGTCCCAGAACTTCAAAGTTGTCTATGACTATCCCTATCACAAGCAGAGTTGATTTGGACAAATCCTGGTGTCTATAAAGCAATTTGAACAGAGCATGGGAGAGTCACTTTTCTACCATGGATCAGATAAAGGGCTGAGCACGATGGAAGTCGTCGCAAATAGGTGTATAGAAGTATCCTTCATGGATCCATTGAGAATGGATTCTGAGGGGATCTTCAAAAATCACTATGCGTTCTGTGTATTGTGATTGATTTGACACTTGGTCAAAAGTACTAGTCTGAACAGTCCTTGACCTAGCTTTTGATGTCTAACAAGAGTTTAAAAGGTTTTAGACAAAGAAGACAAAGACCTGAATGCATGTATAAAGATTTACCAATGGAGCGCTAATGATCCTGGATTTTTTTATTTTATAGGATAATAAGAATATTTTCATAAAAACAATCTACTTTAGAAGAAGATCACAGAATAAAGCTAATATTATGGGAGCAGTAAACGTAGATAAAGCTGAAGAGGATTCCATTACGAAGTTTCAACCCGCTAGATGTTAATATGCACCTAAAATGATAAAGATAAACACAAGACCCATATTAAGCATAAAATGAAAAACATAACGCATTTAAATAGAGAATTATAAATAAACCAAACTTAAAAGTGCAACATATATATCTATTCATCGGGGAATTTTTAAATATGATATGGTCCCATTAAGTGTTAAACTCTCTTCTAAATTAGAAAGGATAGTAATCAAAAATGGTGCAGTTAGCAGGTTTGGTTCATCACAAACGTCGTTGGAAAAAAATTGGTATATGATAGACACACTTTCACATCTGTTGTATGGAAGACAAAAATATCATGCTATTATTAAGTGTTAAGAAAGAAAAAAACAAAAACAAAAAAAAGGTTAAACAAGAAAATCCTCTAACTGGAAAGAAAAACGGTATAAACAGAAATCCTCTTTGAAAGATATACCTCCTCTGCACTAGTTTATCACCATCGACGACAGGATTTTGTTAACCATATTTCACGATCAGCTTTCTTGAAATCGAAAGTACAAGAATGTTCTTTGGTAACGTGCTCCCACAAACATTCCCCACATCGACCTTGAAACTTATCAAACCAATCTTCTTGTTGCAGTTCTTACATCTATTCTTCACGGCTTGAACCTGAACCAGATGCACAACACTCAACGTTGTTCTACTCGAACTAAAATGCAAAATCAACCTATCGGTTTTAAAGGTTTTTCCACGTTTAATACTTTACTTCAGATTTGACCAATAAGCTCTGCCTTCATAAATTCCTTGTAGCACTTTGAACACATGTTTTTTGTTCTCTTGAGACCCGTAGAACCCACAACCCTTTGCGCAGAGAGGTGCAATGGCGTTGTTTACATCCATCTTTTATTTGTTCTTACTGCTTCTCACTCGAGTCGTCCCTTTTTTTTCTTCTTCTTATTAATTGTGTTATAGAGAAAATTGTGAGGTTTGCGATGGTAGATTGAATATATATAGAGAGATTTGAAGTAGAATCCACTTAGGAAAAGAATTCAACTATTAATTTCGTATATTTTTCTAGAGATTTCTGTATCCTTCAACCATTAGGAAAATTCACAGACATTATTAACCAAAAAGGAATAATGCACATATAGCAATGCATAAGTGAACATAGCTTTCACTCCAGAATGGCTGGGAAGGAAACCATCACCTACCAGAAAACATCATGACTTTCCCATCACCTCCAGAATCTGGCCCACTACCAATCCTACCAGAAAACCTCACAACTTTCCCATCACCCACAGCATATCCCCAGGGCTATGATGTTGTTGACAATGGCAAAGAAGAGGAGAGTGATAACGGTCAGGATGACCAAAAAGCATTGTTTGAATTGGATCGGGAGGCATTTGATTTTGAAACAGATGGTTCATTCAGCTCATCTCCCTCCCTCCTAGCAAACTGCCTTGTACCTTCAGTAGGAATTTCTTCTGCTGTTCCTGTGGAAAAATCTTCCTTGAGTGATGATATAAGTGATGAACCAAACATTCCTTCCACACCAGATTCTGAAACAGACAGTAGCACAAGCAGTTACGCGACTGGCTTTTCGAGCCTTGTTGGGGCTTCTTTCTTGGAATGCCTCTTTCCATTACTTCCACCCAAAGCTGGTTTCCTTGAAAGGGTAGGATGCTCTGAAATGGGCCCTCTTACCCAACCAGTAATGAAAAGCAAGGAGTTTGATGATGAAAGTAACAGCAGTGTCGTGATAAGGAGGCCAACAACACTTGGAGAGCTGATAATGATGAGTCGAAGGAGGAGCTACCAGAGGAAAGCTGCTCAAATCAGAAAACAGAATCTATCAATGGTAAATCACCAAACTCCTGTTTGTTTTTCACTGTCATTAATACTGCATTTGGTCTTAGGCTAAAATAAAATAACTGGAAAATGTAGAAAAAATCCATAGCTTCTCCCTTTTTTTTCATTTTTTTTCCATAAAATAAACCATACATCCAACCCAACCCTTCCCCACACAAACACAAATTTAATCGATCCCCTCCCAAGTTTGATATGAATGGGATTTGATCTCTAGATCACTTATACCACTGTTGAATATTAATCAACTAAGTTAGGACAAATCAATAGCTATTTCAAAAAATATATACAAAAAGAAATTGTATTTCAATTCTTTCCATTTGGATACTGTATTCATACTGTTAACTATCTGTTATTTTGCACAAGAGAAATCACAAACAACTTTACTCTTGCCTGAATGCAACTATAACAGGAATTCGCAAGGAGAGCTTGTGGATGCTGCATCTTTGGAACTAGTATCAAAATGATTGAAGGACTGCAGAGGAAGAAGCGCCAGCTAATGCTCTGAAACTGTTGTCAAAGTAAAAACGCAACCCACCTTGTGGTTCAAAATCACCCAGCAATCCATGACCTCTATGAAACTCTCTTCCAAATCATTTTATATTTCTATTTCCAACAAGTGAGGATGTAAATAAATTATAACATCCAGAATGTAAACTGAATGTTAAACCGCAGAATTTTGAAGACAGCTAAACTTGAAAATTTGTCGAAATGTGCATGTCCATTAAATATAAAATTTCTTGCAGTATTTCAACTGGGGAATTTACAAGTTTCAGCAATTTTTTGAATCCGTTCTATAACTACAGGAATATCCTCTTGAGATAAAGTGGCAAAACAACAGCGGAACCATCCCGGTTCTATGCAGTGGCAGGCCGACCCAGGAGTAACATTGATCTTAGCGATATTCAATAGCTTGTCCCATAATTCAAGTTCTCCTTTCTCACTGTAAGTGGGGATTAGTGCACTCATATCAGCCCAACAGTATAAGCCAGCATTGCTCTCCGAGCATCTGATTCCCAATTGTACTAAACCTGCCACAAATGAATCATATATTTCCTTTACCCTTCTTTTATTGGTCTCAAAATATTCCTGAGTGAATCTTGTATCCGAAAGCATTGAAATTAAGAGTCTCTGAGTCAGGGTAGACATGGAGGAAAATCTTGTTAACTTTTTTGCGGCAGCCAAAACACTGTCATTATAGGAATAGATAACTCCAGCCCTAAATCCAGGAAGAGAGAGGTCTTTCGACAGCCCATATATTATATGAACCCTGTCCTTGTCAACTTCTTCTGAGTCAAGAATTTCTGCCATGCTCACAAACTCCTCACTTCCAAATATTGAACCCCCATATATTTCATCACAGATAATATGGATGTTTTTCTCTCGTGCAAAGTCCAAAACATCATAAAGAGTCTCTCGTGGAAGTATATTGCCAACAGGATTTGCAGGGTTGCAGATGAGAATTGCACGTACTTTCAATCCTCGTTTTCTTGCCTGATTGAATGCTTGATCAAGTGCAGTTATACTGAAAACGAAGTTGTCAGTGCTCCGACAATGAACAGGAATTAACTCTACTCCTGTTCGTGATCTTATATCCCTGTCAAAACTGCAAATTGTTTTTCTAATTAACTTTGGTTTCTTAACTGATATGTAAACCTGGTTATACTGGTGCAAGGTCTAAAGTGATGATAAAACTTACCCAGGATAATATGGCGTAGGGACAAGAAATGCATTTCCATGGTCTGCCAAGCAGAAGCTTAGTATCTCAATTGCAGGAGTTGCACCAGCAGTTAATACTATTTGTGAAGGATCAAATGAAACTGCTTTCCCTATGACTCGAGACATGAAACTTGCCATAGCCTGAAAGAGAATAGATATTAAAAAACACTAACACAGACTCCATGGCATTATAATAAATAATTTCATATTCTTTGCACATACAAGAAGAAACAATCACAAATAGAATGGGTTCTAATAGAGTTAATAAAACAACAAATAGCACAAAGCATACTACATCAATCAGAACATTATAAGCCAAATATTAACACAAGTTACAATATGTAAACCTTAATACTCATATTAGCAACATGTAATCAACGAAATACGTATACGAAGCCGAGTGGCTCATACACATGGCATACCTCTTCTTTTCAATCTCATTAAAATGAATAAGAGCTCAGAATCAACACATTACAAACTAAAAAACTATTATCTAAAGTGACAGTCAACCAAAAAAATTAAAAAAGTTAAAAAAAAAATAAAGTAATCCACATTACCACTTTCATCTCCGTCATTCCATCAAACGGCTTGTATGCAGCAATTCCACTAATGCTCAAATCACCACCATCGCTTCCCATTATAGAATCCGTCAAGTTCTCCGAGACCCATTTCTCAATCAAATCCAAACATAACTAAAACCAAAACAAAACAAAAAAATTGAAATTAAAGTTAAGAAAATTTAAAACTAAAAAAAAACAAAAAAAAAAAACTCAGTAGAGCCTAAACATACAGTGTTCTCGGACAATCCAAGCTGAATAATCCATTCGGATTATTCGTCCTATGATACGATCCTCCTTAACCTTATTAACCCGATATAATACGTAGAAATCATCTGCTTTAGCAAGCGAGCCAGCCCGAGAAGATACCCGAACTGGACCAAAAGACCCACGCGACGACAAATTGGACCGCGAAGATGTTCTGGGTAGGTCCGCGAGGTCGAGGACGTAGACGGCGACGGAGGATCCGAGGAAGGGTTCGGAGAACGGTGACGTTTCAAATAAAACTGAAGAAAGTAAAAAAAGCGCAAGGTATTAGTGAGCCCAAAATAAGGCCTCCTCTGCCTTGAAACGCCTTGTAACGGCACAATGAGCCTCATGGCAGTGGCAGCGTGGGCTTGGGACTTCGGTTCATGTGGTGGAGGTTTCGTGTCTGGGTCATGGGTTGCAGAAAGACCCGCCAAAAACTGAGGCCTCGTTTGGTCCGTCCGTCCGTCCGTGAGCGTGAAGAAGAAACAGTGAGTAGATAGATAAAGGTTGGTTTGTTTGGGGTTGGGTCTGTTAGTTGTTGGGAAATGAAGATTAACGAGAGAGTGATTTTGTTTTATTTGAAAAACGTTGGTTAGTTTATGACCGTTCGCTTCGAGAGGGAAGATTAGATTGAGATTTAGACTGTGTTTTTGGATCTTTGCTCAATGGATAGTTTACCGTAAGCCCCTTTAGCTGTATTAATGATTATTATTACCATTTAATTGATTTGATTTATATTAATTGCTTGTTCGTGTACAACAGAAAGTCTGCAAGCAATCAGTAATGGGTTATTTTCTTTGTTCTTATCCTTTAATCATTATTTAAATTTCTTTCCTTTTTTATTTTATTTCCAAGAAAGAAATATGACGTAAACACTATAATTAAGGACACGTTTGAAAATATATATGACATGGACTAATATAATTTTTAATGAATATTTTTCTCTTTCAAGATCATGACTTGAGACTTCTACTAAAGCTAAACTTATAAAGTAAGGGCCCAAGTGATTCTGGGCCAGCCCAATTGTAAGCCCACCAAGCAAACAGGCCCACGGGCCTTGGCGCCCTTCCTCCTTAAAGTTGTAAAGTAGGAAAAGAGAAGAGGAATGGTGGGGTTGTGGTGGGTTTAATCATTGGGTGCGTTTGGTTTAGTATTTTGATAGGATTTTAGGATAGTATTGGGTTATTGGATATGAGTATTACGAGGTAAATTTTAAAAATTTATAAAAAAGCCCTTAGGTTTACTAATTTAACTAAAGACCCTAACATGTAAAATGACAAAAACACCCCACCATCTGCAGTGTCAGATTCCGGCCACCACCGTCGGAATCTGGCCTGAAATTTTGTTACGGCACAGACTTGTCGGATCTGTGCCGTAACACGTCGTTATGGCCTTTTCCGGCTAGATCCATGGTGGATCTGGCCGGAAAAGGCCATCTACTACGGTTTGTTTTGGCCGTCGACGGCCGGAAAATGCCAAACGACGGCCATCTTTGGCCGTCAGCGACTGCCAAAGATTTGGCCGTCGTTTTCGGTCAACGACGGCTATTTCTTTGGTCTTCGCTGACGGCCAGATCTGGCCTTTTCCGGCCAGATCCGTGGTGGATCTGGCCGGAAAAGGCCACAGCGGTGAACTTCCGGCCATTTCTGGTCGGAAGTTTGGCCGTTGTACAGATTTCGGCCATCACCGACGGTGGTGGCCGGAATCTGACAAGTTGGGTTGATGGGGGTGTTTTTGTTAATTTTTAAACTTTTTTTTCATGGGGTATTTAGTGAAATTAATAACCTTATGGGGTTAAAATGTAATTAAAAAAAATAGGGTAATATTTTGAGAATATTGTACCAAATGCTATTTGAAAAATAGGATCCAGACTAGGGATAAAAATATTACACCAAACGCAGCGTTATCCTTTGAAAATGAAACAATGGTGATTGTATGATTGGCTAATATTATGAATTTATGATAAGGTAATTTGTCTGTTTCTCTTCATTATGACCGCTCCACGTAGGATCACTGGACCCAAAAGTTGTGATAATTGAATCAATGTAATATTTTTTACGTTTTATTCAAATAATTAAACGCAACATGGTCCAAAATATATTTTCCTTTTGTTGAGGCTTGATTTTTGACGACGACTCGCATTTGTAAAATATTAAGAGATTCTTAAAAATTATATGTGATGAATCTATAAAATTTGAATATAGTGTTGAGATTATATATGTTGCAGAAACATAAATAATCGACTGACAATATAGGTTTTTATAGTGGTTCGGATACTTAAAACAACTTTTACATCTACTATTATTTTATTATTCTTTGAGTATTTCTATGATATTGTTCGTAAGACATACAAAAATGAAGAAATACTTTGCTTACAGAGAGAAATAATGAAACTCAAATCTATGTCTAACTCTCATATGCTCAACCTCCCCTCTTCGTGAAGAGAGGTGATCATTTATATACCTTTTAGATCAATGTAATGAATGTTTTTGCAAGTTAAGCTGACACGTGAGGACTACTCCTTAATCTTTATCTTTTTATTTTGATAAAGTTGGGACAAATATGCAGTCCTCATCTACTCATAGACAAAACTTGAATCTACTGGATTGGTGACATTCGTATCTCTTCTGTCTTGGGGTGATGTGGCAGCTCCTGAATGACACAAAACCTTCATGAACTTTGATTGATTGGTGCTAACATCAGTGCGATTTTTTAGGCACAACATCTTTAAATATAAGTAAAAATTAAAATTAACAATTCATCCTAATTATAGAGGTTTACCGTTTATGTGTGTTATTAACCAAGTAAAAAATGAATCAAATGTATTTATATTTTTAAAAAATAAAAATAAAAATATTACTTTATATATTTTTAACTTATCTGATTTAGTTTTGCTCATCTTCAACAAAAATTCTAACGCACTCACTAAATTCCATAACGCTACTTCATCGTCTTCTCAGTTGGCGCCAATTGTATCGGCTTTTCAAGATTTTGAA